ACGCCCCTTTCTATTTTTGTATACCCGCTGAATTCATTCTCTGTTCACTTGCATGCCGTTTGTTGCCAGTATAGGTTCTTGATTATTCTAATATCTTTTCCAAATATATCAAGATGGCTGAGCATTTCTAGCAGATCCTTGTGGCGTACTTTGTCGAACACCTTTGCGTAGTCTATAAAACATAGGTAAACGCCCTTCTTCATTTGTATTGCTCTTTCTGATGACATCCCCAGTAGGAATATTGTGTTACTTGTTTCGTTGTCTTTAACGAACCTGCACTGTTCTTGTCCTATCTCTAACCTGATTCTGCTGCGCGCTCTATTCATCAGAATACGGATAATGAGTTTTGTTATGTGGCTCATCAGGCTGATTTTTCGGTGAAGTTCACATTTGTTTGCGCCTGGCTTCTTAGGCAGTGCTATGAAAATAGATCTGTTGAGATCTTCCGGTATATCACCACTGTTGTAGATTTCATTTATTATTTCGGTGATCTTGTCTATGCCAAGATCATTTGAAGCTGTCAGCATTTCCATTACAATTCCGTATGGCCCTGCCGCCTTGTTTCTGTTCAATTTACCCAGTGCAGCTTCTACTTTGGTTTTTAGAATTTTACGCCCATCGGTAGTTCTGTGTATTGCTTGGTTGTTCTCTTTTGTCGTGGAAGCGTTCTCTGATATATTCGTTCCAGCGCTGAAGAATTTTTTCCTTTTCTGTTCGCTTATTTGTTTATGCATATCTCATTTGTTGGTGGTACTCAATCTCTCTATTTCTGCAGTTTTTTTGTTTAGTCACTCTTTTTTAGCCTGCCTGCATTTGGTTCTTATTTCATTGTGTAAAGTTCTGTATTCTGTTCCGTATCTTGGCAGAGTTTTCTGTCTCTTTTGCATCATGTCAAGAATTTCATCAGTCATCCATTCGTTTTTTTCTTTTTCGTCCATTCTCCTTTAGGATGATATTGTTTGTTGATGTCACTAAAGCGTCTCCTAGTGCGTCCCATTTCCAGTTTCCATTATGTCTTTCGTATCTTCTTTCCACATTGTCCATATAGTTTTCTTCCAGGTACGGGTCGCTCAGGAGTTTCTTGTATTATAATTTGGGTGCTACATTCAGTTTCCGTAGTTTCACACTGACCTTTCATATAACAGAGCGAACCTGTATTCTATACGGAACCGTCATTTAGCCTGACGTGCCTTAACCGATCGAGTCACGGAGGATCGTTCGATTAGCAAGGTCGATTTTACTGTTTCATGGAAGATTAAAGTTTAAAAACAGTAAAATCGACCTTACTAATCGAACGATCCTCCGTGGGTCGATCGGTTAATGCATGTCAGGCTAAATATAGGATACGGGTTCGATTCTTGTTTGAGGATGAATATTTTCTATCAAAATTTCTCGGACATTCAGGCCGGTAAATGTTGTTTAATACTGTTTATTATAAAACAGAGCATTTACTTAAATATTTGTATCTATAAAAAGAATGAATAAACATAAAAATGTCTTAAAATGATTGTCGGACTTTGTCCATTTCATATATGATTAGTTGTTTTTCTTTTTAGTTTTTAACGGAGCTCAATATAATAAAATAGTTGGTATTACTTTCAGACCGAGCCTTATATATATATATATATATATATATATATATATATATATATATATATATATATATATATATATATATATATGTGTGTGTGTGTGTGTATATATATATATATATATATATATATATATTAGGAAAATATATGACAAAATGAAAAAAATTTTTGTGTGACACATTTTGTCATTAGGGCTTTATCTGAATATTTCGGGATTTTTCTTGTTTCCGCTGAAAATTTGAATATAAATTAAATTGTCTAATGTCTGAATATTTTCGACTATAGAAGTCATTACCAAATAACATTTTTTTGTTAATATTTTGCGTTTTATGTGTTATGTTAATTTTCTCGTTGTTTAAATATCACGTCTTCATACGTTGTAGCGATATTTTTATTAAAATATTGCGCCTTGAAGCGTCAGTTTCTCTTGTTGCTTTGGATTTTTTTTATTAAATATATGTTCCTCAAGTTGATAAAATTTTAGGGATTTTCGTTTTTTGTGTTCATGGTTAACGCTATGGTAAAAAAAAATGAAAACGCCTATAAATACTAGAAGCATTAATCAGAAGAAAAAAAACGAACCATTTAATCCTGCCTTGATATTAAGGTTGATCATTCCGACAAGGTCAAAATGGCAGCTGATATACAGTCCGTCGTTAACAGAGGTAAAAGATGGCTTGTCAATTTTAACGCCTTCAAAATTAAATTCCTCTTCATTAATCATCTGAGAGATCCTTCTCTGACTTTCATCAGCATGGCTGATGCAAATCCCAAGGAAAGTGACTCGTTACGCTTTCTCAGGCTAATGTTCTCAGCTGACATGAAGTGGAAAAACTTCCATTGCTAGGTCAGCTGCCAAAAAGTTCGATTCACTCTGTCGTACAAGACAATTTTTCTCTCCGGAAACTATCTTACATATCTATAAGTCTGCCATTCGTCCTTGCTTAGAATATTGCTGCCACAGATGGTCCGGTTCCCCTGCTATTCACCTTGAGCTCTTTGATAAAATCCACAGAAAAATCAGCAATATTATTGGTCCTGATCTGGCGGCTCGGATTCTGTCACTTACCGACGGCCGTGAGATTGCCTCTCTATTGCCTCTCTATGCCTTTTTTGTAAATAGCTCTTCACTATGGTACCTAGACTTTTTGAATTTAAGCGCAATTTTGGCGTCGAGATCTCATTAATTTACACTTGAGCTGTCTAGATGCAGCTGTAAATTCTATGCTGACACTTTCTTTTCACGCACCTCTCGCTTGTGGAACTCCTTTCCGGCTCCATGCTTTTCAGCCAACTTTAATCTGCAAAAATTTAAATGCAATGTCAATCACTATCTACTGTCCTCCTGATTACTCCTTTCTCTTACCGATCATTATTGTTTCTGTTCCTAATTCTTCCATACCCTGTAACCCCTTGTGTCTTAGTGGCTTTACTGCCTTGCTTGGTGTGATACCGATTTAAAAAAATACAGCATTAATAATTATTTAACACAAACTAAAGAGTGAAGACGCGATGTTTGAACAAAGATAAAACTTATATAAAAAAAAAAACGAAATACATATATATATATATAATATATTGTTCGAATATTGACAAAAAACTGTCTTTGTCTTAGTACACAGGCATGAGAAAATTTATCAAGTCATCCCATAAGTTCTGTCCGAATTTTAACTTTTTGCTAAAATGAATGAAATTTAAAGAGTATTTTATAATGTCTAATGGAGCTGAACATTATTTTTATGTTTAGATGCATTTAAACTGATCAAATTTTATTTCAGAGAACAATAAAATTAAATTTTGTTTGATTAAAACCCTGCTAACATGGAAGTACCCAAGAATCATTTGAGGCACATAATGCTTTATGAGTTCAAGAAAGGAAACTCAGCAGCCGAAGCGGCTAGAAACATTCACTGAGTTTATGGAGAGGAATGTGTGAATGAAAGAACTTGCAGAAGATGGTTTGCAAAATTCAGAGGTGGAGATTTCACCCTTTAAGATGAAGATCGAACCGGACGTCCAGGTGAGTTTGATGAAAAGCTTCTTGAAGCAGCTCTTGAAGAAAATCCTGCTTTATCAGTTGAGGAATTGGCAGTGGTTCTCAGTTCAAACCATACAACTGTTCATCGTCATCTTCAACAACTTAGAAAAGTTCCTAAAATTGGAAAATGGGTGCCTCATGAATTGTCTGAAAGCAACCTCAAATCCCGAGTTGACATCTGCGCTTCTCTCCATTCTCGCCAACTTGTTTCAACTTTTTTGGACAGACTTGTGACTGGCGACGAAAAATGGATCTTTTATCGAAATGTTAAGCGTCGTAGACAGTGGCTTAGTAAAGGGGAAGGACCCCAGCCACAGCCGAGAAGGGAACTTCATGGGTAAAAGGTTCTTCTTTCAATCTGGTGGGATCGCCAAGGAATAATCCAGTTTGAATTCTTACCAACTAATGCAACAATTAATGCTCAAATATACTGTCAGCAATTAGAGCGTTTGAACCAAGCTTTGAGGAAATAATGACCTGCTCTAGTGAATCAAAAAGGGGTGATGTTCATCAGGACAATGCACGACCACACACAGCAAGAATCACGTCACAAAAGATCGAAGAACTTGGTTGGGAGAAAATTCCTCATCCACCTTATTCTCCCGATCTTGCTCCTTCAGACTACCATTTGTTTCGAAGCTTACAGAATCATTTGGAAGAAACAGCTTTTGTAACACAGGAAGATGTTAAAACTGACATTTGTGAGTTCTTCGAATCAAAGCCAAAAGAATTTTACAGTAATGGAATTAGTAAGCTTGTTAATAGATGGAAGGATGTCATAGATAATCAGGGAAAACACATTGTTGATTGAATCTGTAATTAAATGTAACATTTGGTCACTTGTTTTCTTTATTCAAAATTCGGACAGAACTTATGGGATGAGCTGATACATCCAAATTTTCACCAGAAACGAAATAGAGAAGAATTATATATGACAAATAAACAAAAATTCTTATTTGCATTCAGACTATTGTGCTTATTTTTGTTTTTATTATCACAACTTTCCGGCCGTTGTGTCCTCGGGACTTCGTCAGGCGCTTGTCGAGCCGGGTAAAGTTCAGCGATTTCGAACTGAACCATTTATTTAATCTGTGGGGGTAGATTGTTCTGTTTTCACTGTCCATTTCTACGGACATCAAGCCTTCTTATTTAGTAGGTACTGCTCAGTTATTGCTCGCCCAGTTTCCACTGAGGCCAAGTCTGAACTGCCCAGCGCACATTTATTATGTCACCAAATTCATGAGCCAACGCCTTATTTCACTAATCTATTGTCCCGAGAAAGAAAAAATAAGCTGCGATTTGCATCATTTCACTTTTCGGTCACGTGGTCCATCTGTGAACATATCTTAAATTAATATAATCAGTATAACATAGAAATATGTAAGGGACATAGATAGATAGATAGATAGATAGATAGATAGATAGATAGATAGATAGATAATGATTAGACTAAGATAGATATGAATAGACTAAGATAGATATGAATAGACTAAGATAGATAGATATGAACATACTGAGATAGATAAATAGATAGATAGATAGATAGATAGATAGATAATGATTAGACTAAGATAGATATGAATAGACTAAGATAGATATGAATAGACTAAGATAGATAGATATGAACATACTGAGATAGATAGATAGATAGATAGATAGATAGATAGATAGATAGATAGATAGATAGATAGAACTGGCATGATTTCACTCATTCTTTCTCTCGCATCTCATCGGCTTTGTAGCCATTCGTTCTTAATGCTGTCTTGTAAACGTCTTTGGAAATGGGTGACTAGCCAAGCTGGTGCTTAATTTCCTGCGAAATATGCAATCACACTATTTATCCCTGTTACTTCTCTTTCTGCATATATATCTCTTTCTCTCTCGCGTTCCACCTTTCTTTCCTTATCTATCTACGTGTGTGTTTGTGTGTATGTATGTGGATATAGTGTTCCATCACTTTCTTCCTTTCTCTTTTTGTTATCACGCATGCGCATACCTACTCAAGCTAATAAGTGTTACAGACGAAAAAAGAATGATAATGGCAATAAATTTCCAGGGATCCTTGGAATAGCGTTTCTTCGTAGTCCTGGATTTTAACCCTTTTGTTCTATCCATTACGCTAATGCTTTTCGTTATTCAACGAAGAAAAGGATAAGAAATAATCTGATGCCAAAGTTGATCTCTTTGGTGGTTTAGATCAGAAATGATGGGTCCTTATGATGAATACAAGCAATATATGCAAACACCAACAGGCTTCACGAACATATATATATATATATATATATATATATATATATATATATATATATATATATATATATATATCATATCACTATGCGTTCACGCCTAGCAAAACACGTCAACCAGTAAATTCCAGGAGGTTAACGCGTTTAAAGATGAGCAGATTTTTGTGCTTAGTATTAAAAAATAGTGCAACAATAGAGTTAACGGATAATTAGAAGTACAAAGCTTCTGACATCAGGTTTCGCAGATACACCGTTCCACTCGTCAAGGTTGGGTTGATCTACTGAATTAATTCGCAGGTATATTTATTTATCTATTATTTATTTTAAAGGCACCAATCATTGTCTCCAAATAAATTTAAAACTGTTTTATAATGAAAATGTTATAACGTGAGAACATTTAAATTTAATCTGATATTTCACCGTTATAAAAGCTATCATATATATCATATATATATCATATATATATATATATATATATATATATATATATATATATATATATATATATATATATATATATATAACATGTAACTATATTTAAATAAAATAAATAAACAAGTTAGTTACTCGTTTTGTTTTTTTTTTTTTTTTAGACTGGATTTTTTTCGCTCTTTTCTGATGTTTTTTAGTTTTTTTTTTTTTTTCCTTTTTTTCCCAATTTTTCCTCGGATATCAATTCTTTTTGATATATTACCAACTGAGTGTAATTATTAGTATAATAATATATAAATAAATATATAGATATAAATAAACTTTGTGCAATATATATATATATATATATATATATATATATATATATATATATATATATATATATATATATATCAAAGTTATGTCCAGTTTTGTTCCTGTGTATTACGAGCGAGTTTAAAGTCTTGTCCCAACGAATATCCATTTTATGATCGTAGATGCATGCTTAGATGTATAGATTTCGAGTTGTCTCACCAATGTAAATGTTTACATTGCAAACTATTTATTTCTATGTATTTCTCTTCTTAATTCTATCACCGAATGTCTTGGAGGTGGTGGTAAGGAAACTAGAATTGGGGATAACTAATTTATTTAAAAAATTTTTAGATAATGTTAGAGATTAGGGTTATGAATTTTTGCTTTTTGAATTTAGAAGTGCCATCCACAATCCTTATTTTTGGGATTTGTGAACTTTGTATGCTCGTTTTCTTGCGTTCTGAATGAAATGATGTGGGTAGTGAAGAAGTCTAAATGTTTTTTTCAGTATATTTCTGTTCTTCACCTAGGCATTCTGGGTTATATGTTCTAAGTTCTCTGGGGTAGAATCCTATGATTAGTCTTGAGATTATTTTTGATTGTGGTGGAAACAAAAATTAATTAGATCGTTTTTGTTATCGGGTTTGCGGTACACTCTAAAATTTAATTTGTTATTGTCATGCGTTAATTAGATGTCAAGAAAATGTATGTATACTACCACCTGATGCGATGCGATGATATGCATCGAAACATGAATGCATTTATGTAGTGGTTTTACATGTGTTCGAATGTAATATTCTGTAATAAAGAATATTGCTCAACTAGTGTATTGAGCACTATTTTTAAATTAATGCTATGAACGCTTGAATTTATATTTGATTCGCTCTCATTTTCATTTTATATATATATATATATATATATATATATATATATATATATATATATATATAGTGATGGGATTGAACCAGTTCGCGCGAACCTATTCTTAAAATTGCAAAAGTTCGCATAACTAAGTTCCTGGTTTGTTCTTAATGTTTTCCGTCAACTCAAGCAAACCGTCTGATCCTTCTAACTATCGGCCGATTAGCCTTCTAAGTTTTGAGGGGAAAGTACTAGATGCTCTAATTAACTCTAAATTGGTCAAGCATCTCACCTAGCAGGGAATTCTTTCAGGTAAGCAATATAGTCTACTGCTGATTGTTTAACAATTACTGTCGAAAGAATGTCTGATACTTTAGATAAGAATGGTGAAATTCGGACTGTTGCTTTGGATATCTCGAAGGCATTTGACAAGGTTTAGCATATTAGTTTTCGTCACAAGTTAAAAGGTTATAGTATTTCTGGATGAAGTTTTTAAACTGATTCAATCTTCCTTATCAAATCGCAAAATGAATGTTATCTTGAATGGCCACTCTTCTAGATCTTTTTACATTGATGCAGATGTCCTCCAGGACTCTATCCTTGGATCTACGTTATTCCTAATTTGCATAAATGACCTTCCTGATACCATCTAGGTATCTAGTCTCATGACTCAACCATTTACTCCTGTCTTAATAGTAAGTCTGGTCGGTTTGATAAGATCAAATTGGCAGCTGATCTCAAAAATGAGCTAAATATGTTGTTAAATGGAGCAAGGAGTGTTTTGTTAATTTTAACGCTCACAAAACGAAACTGCTCTCTTTTAATCGTTTGAGAAAACCATTTTTGTCTTCCATCAGCATGGCTGATGCTAACCTCCAGAAGAGAGGTACCTTCTCGAAATAACGTTTTCTGCTGTTATGAAGTAGAAAGAATATTAATTACTCCATCTGAAACTAGAAAATTTGGTTCACTGTGTCGAGGGAGACAATTTTTCACGACAGAATCTATCTTACATTATAAGTCTACCATGCGTCATTGTTTTGAATATTGCTGCCACATTTGGTCTAGTGCTTCTGCTATATATTTAGAGATTCTTGATAAAATCCAAAGAATCTGCAATGTTATTGGTCCTGATCTGGAATCTCAGTTTCAGTCGCTTTCCGAACACTGTAACGTGGCTCCCCGGTGCCTTTTCTGTAAATACTTTCGTGGTAATTGCTCTGATGAACTTATCTCTATGGTACGCAAGTACAAGGTCTCATCATTTTGCAATTGAAATAGCTAGATGTAACCGTAATTTCTATGCTAATAGTTTCTTCTATCGCACTTCTTGCTTGTGGAACTATTCCAGTTTCTTGCTTAATTGTCAACTTTGAACTTTCAAAATTAAAAAGTAATATCAATCGTTATCTTCTGTTATAATAATTTTTGTTCTTTTATTGTCTTTTCTCCTTAATAGTTGCTATAACGCTCTTCGTAGCGGTTATAAGTAATGCCTTGGATATTGCTGTGACGACTGTATTAATTAGTCTGAAGACTGACTCCAAATGACTGGTATTTACCCAAGCCTCTCCATAAGGCGGGATGTAGCACAAGGCCGATTTTATGTGGGGCAATTCCCAGCCCGTAGGCTCGGGCAAAAATTCCCCGTAGACCCAGCATACACGAGGTCGGGTTTGTCTACATCCACAGACTAGGCTCTACCCATAGGCATAGCCTAGTCTGCGTTCGTCTCTGCCCGAAGGCAGAAAATTCGACCTGTCGTGAGCCTGGCGGCAATCTGCCTGACTCCAAAGGGCTTCCAGTATTTACCAAACCTCCCCACAAGGCAGGATGTGGTACAAGGTCAGTTTTTACGTGGGGCGTTTCCGACCCCGTAGGCTCAGGCAAAAATTCCCCGTAGACCCAGCAAACACGGAGTCTGGTTTGTCTACCTCCGCAAACAAGACTCTGCCCGGTGACATAGCCTCGACTGGATTCCGAAGGCAGGATATCTACTAACCGCCCCACGCGGTCATATGTGGCTCAAAGCTGAATTGAATGTGGGGTATCCGAGCTCATAAGCTCGACCAAAAATTAACCTAGACCCCATTTTAAAACGGGGTAGGGTAGCTGTTTCTAAAGACGAGACTCTGCCCTTCGACATAGCCTCGTCTGGGGATCCTCTCTGGTCGAAGGCAGTGAGTTCGACAAATCTGTCGCGAGCCTGGCAGCGAACTGTCTAACTCCAAAGGGCTTCTTCTTTCTTACCGCTGACCTGGAGCTCTTTATTTATATGGACTAGTTCATATAGTCCCCGGGAGTGTACTATTTACCTTCACAACAATAGTATGTTTCTCATATTCTCTAACATTAAGTAGCCCCTTGCAATTTAGTAGCCTTATTTCCTTGCCTGAGGTAAAATGATTTTTTAAAAAGAACCTATTGTAAATCGTCACGATTTTCCGACTCAGATCAGTTGTTTCTGAAATTAGATTTGCGTGACTTGTTCTTGTAAACCGAAAAGAAAGCTGAGTAAGTTTTTAACAACACTTTGTAATTTCATTTTATTTAAATTATTTTGTATTTTTTTTTTTAATCTGGAAATATTTGAAGAACGATGATAGCTAAAATTGTCATGTTTTCCATAGAGAAATAGAGAATCAATTCCTAAAATTATTGAATCTTACCACTATATACATTGCGCTGAGTATCGCATTAGATTAAAAGCGTGAAAGTGACAATCACCATGCAGTGTTGAATCTTATATATATATATATATATATATATATATATATATATATATATAAACGGTCTATCTCTAATATTGAGCACTCTACCTGTATAAAAGAAAGGAAATTTTAAGCAATATATATAACAAAATATAT